TATATAAATACTAGTTTAATCATAAATCTGAAATTTATCAATTGTTGTGTTCATATATCCATCTTTACATGAAGTTGGGCTTCAAAATTAGATATCTGATTTCTTTTAAGAGGTTCAGGGTATGACTCAGGGTAAAAGTTCTATAAAACAATAAAATGTGATAAATATTAAACAGATGCAGATATAAAATGCTTAAGGGAGGAAAAAAGAGAACAAGTTTTTTTTTTGGTAATTGGCACCAATGTGCAAGGATGACTTTGAGGTTTCCACTTTCTGGATCGACAGCAAGGACCTTATTTGGTCATTGCTAATGATTAGCATATACATCCATGTGTACACATTACTGCCATGCTAGTCACTTAGTGATAATTGTTATGATTAGCATATACATCCATGCACACACATTACTGCCATGTTACTCACTTAGGAGATATCTCAGTCCTCAGATCAACTGCCACGCTTTAGCAGTACTTGTATAAAGATAACCTTATTTCACTGAATAGTGGCCTCAAGCTCAAGAGTAATGATGCTGGAGGTTTTATTACAGTATATTGTTATGAATGCTCTATTATTGCTGTTAGTCTCTTATTGTGCTTAATTTAGAAATTAACCTCTTTTAGAGCTATATATGGATAGGGAAAAACAATATATACAGGGGCCACTGTTATCCATGTCACATCATCACAGTCTACCTTGGAACAATATTTGGACAGTATAAAAACTTTGCTATAATCATAGCATTCAGAAGGTAGAGGCAGGTGAGCTAAAATCAGCTTCTATATAGTAAGTGCCAGGCCAGCCAGGGCTACTTGACCCTCCTTTGTAATCTTATAAGCTATAAATTCCATAGCTGTTTTTATTCTTGCTTTAAAAATACAAGTTACTGCTGGGCGGTGGTGGCACATGCCTTTAATCCCAGCACTCAGGGAGGTAGAGGCAGGTGGATCTCTGAGTTCAAGTCCATCCTGGTCTACAGAGTAAGTTCCAGGACAGCCAGAGCTACAGAGAGAAACCTTATCCCCCCCCCCCCAAATAACCCCAAAAAACAAAAACAAACAAACAAACAAACAAAAAACCCAAGTTACTGACAGATATAGAGGGTATGGGGTATGGGGTATGGGGTACACAGACTTTATTTTCTTATGATCTGTTAGTTTTACTGGATATTTATTCATGCTGCTGTTTTTTCTTCCTGCTTGGGTTCTATCTGGCATTTTTCTTAGTTTAAAAAAACTTTGGAATTTTCTTCCCCTTTACAAGAGAGTACTATATGCCCTAGGATGGTCTCAATCAAATGATTTTCTTGCCTCAGCCTCCTGAGCACTAGAACTGTAGAAGTATGCCACCGTGCCTATCCATAATTTCTTATAGTTTGGCCCAATGAGACCAGTCCTTTCAACTGTAGTCTACCTAAATTACCTTCATTTGGAAGGCATTTTCACTCACCCTTGACCTTTACTAATAGCTCTAGTCTAAAGAGGGTAAAACTATGAAAGAGAACAAGTCAAATCAAAGATACAACACTTTAATCAAACCATAGAATTTCTTTTAATGTCAGTTTACCAAACTCATTGCATACTTTATAAGACTGACATCTTTTTTGTATCTAAAAGAAATAACTAGAGGGGAGACATCTGAAGTGGGGGTGGGGAAGTTTCAGAGCAGCGCAGGCTTCCAACACAAAGAAAAGACCAAAACCAATTCTTACATGCTTTACTGTTAACAGCAGCATGGCCAGGGTGACTGCTCCCCTTCCAGCTAGCCCAGAGCTTCCTTTACTCACACAAATACAGACTCATCCAAGTCTTTCCTTGTTTGGTAAAAGCTAAGATTCCTAGACTTCTGCCTATTCTCTAAGTGCCCAGCAGAAAGATCTGTACCCAAAACAGCAGAGAAAAGGGCTGCAGTCTAAACTGCAAATCTATAAATGAATGGCTCTAAACTTAGGACAACATTATTTCCCGTGGATTAGGATTCTTTCAGGATTAGAGAATAACTCTTTCACAGTTATGAAAAACAGGAAAGAACAGCATGACAAATTATATAAAAAGACAAAGCAAAAAACCTCCATTTAGGCCAAGAGTTATAATTTAGTTTTTATAAATTAGCTTAGTGGCAGTGACCTGTCTCTGCCTCGTGTGTTCTTCCTCATACAACAAAGGATAGAAGCTTGAAAAGCGCACGATTGGAACCCTTCTGTCACTGGGGTCATCTAGACTCTTCGAGTAAGATAAACTTACTCCGAATGTAGAAGTAGAAACCAGACAGTGCCCCATCCCTCTGGCTGTGGTGGCAGCTGACACACAGTTTAGCAGACCAGTGTGCTCTGCAGTGCTAGGCCCTGTATCCCAATGCCAGGAAGCAGCTTTGGGACTGTCAGGTCCCCACAGCATTGGCTGTGACTGCCTACACCCTCAAGGAGTAGTAACAACCAATAAAGCTGTGACAGGAGGCAAAGAAGGGGTTGGAGAGGCCCAGAAAAGCACATCTGGGATCATCATAGACACAGACCCTCAGAAATCAGAACTCAAGCTCAACTGTACCGATTCTAATTATCTTATGGCAAAGAGCAGCTGCACATGGTTGAAGTCTGTGCTTCTTGATATCTTTTTAATATGCCTGAGTATGTTATATAATGTTTCCAAATAAACAGTGAAGCTTGCTTCTCTCTCTCTCTCTCTCTCTCTCTCTCTCTCTCTCTCTCTCTCTCTCCCTCTCTCTCTTCCCCTCTCCCTCCTTTTCTACCCCACCCTCACCCCAGGCAGAGTCTCACTCTAGCCCTGTAGCCCAGGCTGGCCTCAAATTCATGGTAATCTTCTTGTCTCAGCTTCCCGGGTTCTGTGACTGCAGACGCAAGCCACTGGCACCATGGCCAGCTGAGGTGCCTCTTTCTCCCTCCCTCCCTCCTGTACCACTCCCCCTTTTCCCTTTCTTTCTTTTTAAGACAGGGTCCCATTATGTTGCCCTGCCTGCCTTGGAATTCATATAGACTAGGCTAACCTCAGACTCACAGAGATCTGCCTGCCTCTGCTTCTCTCACCCTCCAAGCACCACCATTTGAGCTCCAACATGCTCAGCAAATGTATTAGCACCTAAAGCAAACATGCAAACCAGGCGAAAAATTTTATATCCAAAAATAAAACCTCTTTCTTGTTTCTTAGTCTCTACCCCCATAAATGGAGATTTCTCTACAACAATGATCTCCCCTTTTCCATGTTACTGTCCCCAATTCACTTCCCCAGGCCTTTGTCATGAAATAGCCATCACAGTCGCCAATGACTTCTACTGGTGAGTTTTTAAGAGTACTCACCTTCCTTGTCCCCAGCCTGGTGGCTGGGCTGGGGGCAGCACTGCCCTTCACCACTCTCCATCTGACTGCCCAGCCACTGTCAGGTGCTGGTTCCTTTGTAGCCCACACATGGGCAACACCCAGCACTCAGCACTTTATCACTATTTTCTCTCCTCTTTAGTTTCACATTGGGAAGTAGCACCCAAAAAATCAAACATTTAGCCTCAACTTCTCTCCTAAAGTCCAGACTTGGATACATGGTTGTCTACTGGACTCCTTCAATGGAATGTCTAAAATCTGTATCTAAAGCTCTTGACTCCTGCTTCTAACTCCTTCCTCAGACTTTGTCTCAGTAAAAGGCATCAATATTAATCCAGCACTTAAGACACAGAAATTATCACCAATTCCCTTTTATTAGATAGCAACAATTCTTTAACAGTTTTACTTCAAAATATATTTGGATCCCCATTCTCTCCTACACCTTCATATCTACCATAATAGAATAGACCCAAAGATCTCTCATCTCAACCAGGGACATGGCATTTTAACTGACCTATCCATTTCCACTCACACTCCCCTCAGTCCACTTTGTGCGGCAGCTAAAATGATCATTTTTGTTTCTTTGTTTTTGTTTTATGAGACAAGGTCTCACTATACATCTCACACTAGTCTTGAACTCACAATCCTGCCTCTGTCTCCCAAGTTCACTATGAACTCTACCACTCCTGGCCAAAATGATCTTTCAAAAATATAAATCAAGTCAAGTCACTCTCCTGACCAAACTCGGCAGTGGTGTCCTTCAGGCCTAGAATGAAATCCAGAGTTCCTAGCAGAGCCTATGAAGCTCGCTGAGATCTCAGCTCTGCAGCCTCTCAGGTCTCATCTACCATTCTCCCTCAGTCACTGCATCCCTCCAGCTTTACTCAACTTCTTGAGGTTCTGCAAATATGCAAGCTGCTCCCTCCTGAAGCTCTTTACATTTGCTATTCCTTTGTCTGGAAGCCATTTCACTGAATTTCCCCCTAAATCCTAGAGCTATGAATAATTTGCATAGGAAATGAGTTTCCATCCAGCTATAAGATTCTGAGGCTGTTATAACAGTTGAATCAATTACTTTGATACAATATCTTACTAAAGTGGAATTTCTTCAGAAAAGCCTTCTCAAATGATTTAATCTAAAATAACCACTAATTTCTGTGTTTAAATTCTAATCTTCTACCTAGCTTTATTTTTCCATAGAAAATGCACCTCTTATTTTGAGTGTGTGTGTGTGTGTGTGTGTGTGTGTGTGTGTGTGTGTGTGTGTGTGTGTGTGTGTTCCTTAGTTCTCCCTGGCTCGTTACCATCACCACAGTAATGTTTACTGGGAAAATGGTGTGCCAACTGATAGGTTATGTGCTTCAGAAGCAGTAACAAGCAGGACTCAAATGTCATTCTTCAGCCAACAAAGAAGCAGAACCGGAGTCCTAAGTCTGCACCACTGTTAACCTGTGGTAGAACATGTCTATGTTCAAAAGTGCCTGCATGTTCTTCCTTACAATCTGCCATGTGTTTTCTTTGCAAGGCTCTAAGAAGAGGGGTTAAACATTACTATTGATTGCACTGCCTGGGCTGAGAAGCTGGGGGATAAGGGGGAGCAGGAAGCAGTGCCATGCCTGACTAGGGCACACGACTGCTACTGTAAAGACCTGAACGAAGTGCTACAAAAGCTGGAGAGGGTGGAGAGGGTTTCAGTACAATGACTGCTGCATCAGAAGCACCCTCAGTGAGGAAGAGAGAAGGCTTAGGTTCCCACATCTCCCAGGGAGAGAGCACCCCGCTGGGAGAAGGTCCCGGCAATGTGATGCCGTTTCTTCCGACACCAGCAGAACGAACCTGGAGAATCCTTGTTTTTTGCTGGTTATTTGTCATTCTTCTTGACTTGGTCCTTTCCACTTCGTGTCTATGAACCCAGCCTCGAAGCTCATGGTTCAACCTAGAAAACAGATTAGTCACGTATATTTAATAGCAGTTAACTGTCTTACTCTTCTGTTGGAAATTAATTGTTCTGTAGGACTCAAAGAACAGCCCAACACACCTGACTATTTGACAACGCTTTTTGATTTGAAAAAAAAAAAATACTAAGACGTTTAATATTGTTATTAATAAGACATAAATTGTTATAAAGCAATCTCCTCAATCATGTATTCAAAATTCAAAGAAATAAGGGAAAATATGTCCAAAACAATATATTGTCAAATATTACTTTCCTAATTTGAAAAAAAAAAAAAAAAAAAAAAGATGCTGTTGGCTGAGTATATTATGTCCACAAGTTTAGTCATGCCCTGAATTTTAACATTCACTTCATCCTTTAGTTTAGTTTTCAAATAAGACACACAGAAACAGGCAATCATCACATTAAACAGACCCCTGACCATTTCTACCAGGTTGGGGAGAAACTAGACAACTGACAGGCTACAGTTATCCAACAAGTAATTCAGATTCTCCTGGCCTGTTAGTAAATCCAAAGACAGCTAAGTTCTGCAGCCCACCACGGGGGACAGGCAACAGCCCACCACACTCACCTGAGAGACTCTGTTGTATTAATCAGGGGCTGACAGGGAGGTGGAGGAATATAAAGCAGTGGTTCTTCAGTGAGCACCATTAAGGCTTTGTCATTTGAAACAGAATGATCATATCTGAAAGAGACACACAGAAGAATTGTTTCCTTGCAGCATTAACTTTATACAATTTATTACTATTGATTTTTCATTAGAATAAACATATACCAGATTGAACATACTGTGAGATAGAAATGGACATAATGGGAAGAATAAAGTATGAACTAGATGGTAAAACTGTCATTTTCTGAGTTCCTAAGAGATGGCAGAGTAATTCCCATTTGCTTAGCTACTCTTCCCTGGGCAGAGCATCGTCTGTGGCTTTGGTGAATTCAATGAGCTCTAGTGCTGCTGGAGTAGAGGACAGACACAGTGTGAGAGAAATCAAGGGAAGAGCTGCCAGTTGACAGGGAAACACATTATTGTATGACAAGGCCTAAAGATCTACGGTCATTTGCCCTTCTATGATAACAAAACTAAACAGTCTCCTAAAACAAGTTTGGGTGAGGTGGGGGGAGCAAGACATAAAATATTTGGCCTGAGAAAAGGGACAAAGTTGAAAAACTGAGTAACAGCTTTAGAGCTGTTGATGACTTTGAGTCACTAATTAACACTAAATGACAGTAACTAGCTACTCTATTAACTTGAAAAGTATACTTTTCTAACTGCCATACTACTTTATATCACATGAATTCATACCTAGAGGATGATAAGAAACAAAACCTGAATTGAAAAAGCAGAATCTGAACCGGGCCCGTTATTATTGGTTCTTTCCTTCAGTCTACCATTTTACCCTATCTCACTAAGAAATCTTAGATTTGCTCTGACATTTTTTATAAGATGCTCTGAGTTTATAAATTAGATATACTAAAATACAAAAACAAGTGAACATACAAAATCGAACATGGTAAGATTCGCACTTTCATTTATTCCTTCAGTATTTGCTAGATACTGCCTACGTGCCAGGCAACCCAAGACAGTGCAAGAGAAGTCTCTCTCCTCAAAGACCTAAAAGGGAAGACAGCTCAAACACAAGAGAACAAACACATAAAAGTCAGCAAAACTGTGCTAAGTGTTGTAAAAGAAACGGAGGTCTCAAACAGCAAAGCATGGCAGTATCTACTTCAGATAAACAGTCTAAGGAAGAGATGGTATTAAGTCAAGGCCTAAATGACAAGAAGAAATCAGCCACATAGAAACTAGGAGAAGTATATACTAGACAGAAGCAGTGAGGAAAACGCAGACTCAAGAAACCCAGAAGACTGCTGAAGAGTTGTGTACTCATGAGACAGACCTAAGAGGAAGTCAGAAAGACAGAGGCCAGGTCTTAATTAGGACCTGCTATACAAGAGAAGTCACAAAGTAAGGAGGTGGCACACCTCAATTTATCCTTGCACCTTGAAATTGTACCAAAAATGAGTATTAGTTAAACGAGGAAAGGAACAATGATCCTCTGTGCACATAGTAAGTCTGAAATGCTAAAAGAAAAAGTCAAAGAGATGACTGGATGTGTGAGCATGTGCATGAGAAGTTTGACCTGGAAACAGGAATTTGAGAATCAAACATGTATACAGGCATGGAGTCTGTAGTACAGATGAGTCACGTTAGCAGAAAGTACAGAGCTTTAAAGCTTGGGATTTGGACAAAGGAGAAGCCTACAAAGAAAATCAAAAAGGAAGGAAGGAAAGAAGACTGAGTGTTGAGCATAATAATCTTGCACACAGGAAGTAAAGGCAGGAGGCTCACAAGTTCAAAGCCAGCCTGTGCTACAGAGCAAGAATTTGTCTCAATTAACCAGGGGCTGGGAAAAAGCTCAGTGGCAGAGTACTTGCCTACACAAGGCCCTGCACTGAATCCCTAACACCACAAAACAAACACAAAAGACTATAAAGCAGCAGCTAGTAAGAGAGAGAGAGAGAGAGAGAGAGAGAGAGAGAGAGAGAGGGAGGGAGGGAGGGAGGGAGGGAGGGAGGGAGGGAGGAAGGAAGGAAGGAAGGAAGGAAGGAAGGAAGGAAGGAAGGAAGGAAGGAAGGAAGGAAGGAAGGAAGGAAGGAAGGAAGGAAGGAAGGAAAGAAGGAAGGAAGACTAAAAAAAGTAACAATGCAAAAGAAAAGTCTTTTAAGGTGTGATTCATTTAGCCATATGTTGAAGAAAGTTCAAGAACATGGATGACCATTAAATTTGGACACAATGAAAACAAGTGACCCCATCATACACACACACACACACACACACACACACACACACACACACACACACACACACACACCTAGTAAGTGGAAAACTAATTTCAGGGGAAAAGTAACAATTTCTGAGTATGGCACATATAAGTGTTGTAGAATATTATTTTAAGGTATGTTACTTTTGTTTATGTTGCATTTGTTTAACTCTGTAAAGCTGTGTTATTGTGCCTGTCTAAAACACCTGATGGTCTAATAAAGAGCTAAATAGCCAATAGCAAGGTAGGAGAAAGGACAGGCCAAGCTGGCAGACAGAAAGAATAAATATGAGGAGAAATCTGGTAGGAGAAGAAGTAGCCAGGGAAGGAGGAGGATGCTAGGGGCCAGTCACCCAGCTACACAACCAGCAATGGAGTAAGAAAGAAAGGTATACAAAATAGAGAAAGATAAAAGCCCAAAGACAAAAGATAGATGGGCTCATTTAAGTTAAGGAAAGCTGGCTAGAAACAAGTCAAGCTAAGGCCAGGCATTTATAAGTAAGAATAAGTCTCTGTGTGATTTATTTGGGAACTGGGTGGTGGGCCCCTCAAAAGAGCAAACACAACCAACCACACCTAAGGGAAGAGAAGTGAGAGCTGAAGTTACATGACATCCTCCTTCTACTCATTGCACTGAGGAGATTCGTGTCCTCTCTTCAAGCAATTAAGATTTACAGAGGTAAAATGTTTGGAACACAACAAAGACACAGGCAGTGCTGACTGCACACAGGAAAAGATACCAGCCTAGAACTGAGAGTTACCAGTGCCTGGCAAATGCAATCCCATGCTGAATGTAGTTAAGGAGCTGGTGTGCAACCCAAGCAGAGGCGTGTGCACACCCACACCTGTCACATATGCCACCTGAAAATCACACCTTTATACTCACCAAAGACAGGAACTCTGCAGTCACATAAGGAAAGTCCAAAGTTGCTTTCAAAACCATATTTTGACTACAATTTTCTTTCCATATGATAAACTCTAGTAATGATTTCTGCACATCTGTGCTGGCTAACTTTGTTCTAACAGCCAAGAATATAGGGAATATTTTGATTTAAAAAAATCTGATAGGAGAAATACAAGGGAAGGTTGGATGGTGTTAAGGGGGAAAGGAAGGGGAGACTCTAAGCCAGCATGCAATATGGAGATAATCAGATCTTCACTAACCCAAAGACAGTCGGGAGTTCTAGGCTGTTTGCAAACCATTCTATACAAATAGAAAAAATTTCAGCAAATAAATCACTAAAGGAAAGTGCAATGCTAGGGAGCTAGAGTTAATGAGAATTCTGGACTAAAGACAAGTGGAAACCATCCTTTCCTGTTTACTAGAAGACAACTGTCATTTAAGCCTGATGTCCTACATCCTGAGGTAATAATTATTAATAGCTTTCTCTACATTACTAATATTTTTTCTTAAAAGGATCCCAGTTTGGCTGATAAATTATACTGTTAAAAATCCAGATTGTATATATAAATATACTTCTAACATTGGGGAAAAAAATCTATGCAACTACAATCTGCTAGTGGTAATGTGCTAATGGCAAATAGGACACTAACTGAAACAAAAATGAGGCATTTAAAAATAAAGGTTATGATACAGAAAACTTGAACAGGCCAATAATAAGTAAGAAGACTGAACTAGTTATAAAAGACCCCTGCCCCCACCCCAAAAGAACAAAAGCACAGGGCTCGATGGTTCCAGCAAACCGCACAAGAAGAGCTAATGTGAGCCACATGTGGCACACACCTAGCCTGCCAGCCATCCAAAAGCCAAGATAGAGCCATCCAAAAGCTGAGATAGGAAGCTGTTAAGTTGAGGCTAGCCTGGCAACTTAATGAGACCCTTTCAAAGCATGAACTAAGGCTGAGCGTTGGTGGCACACGCTTTTAATCCCAGCACTTGGGAGGCGGAGGCAGAGGCAGGCAGATCTCTGTGAGTTCAAGGCCAACCTGGTCTACAAAGCAAGTTCCAGGAAAGGTGCAAAGCTACACAGAGAAACCTTGTCTCGAAAAACTAAAAAAAAAACCTAAACAAACAAACAACAAAGAAAACTAATGTAAATTTGTCTCAAACTAGTCCAAAGAACTGAAAGGAAGGAAACCCTTCCAAAGTTGTTCTATCCTGACATCAAGGCCCCATGAGAACACACTCAAAAGGGAATCCACAGACCAAAATCCCTGATGATCATAGCTATTAAAATTCTCAACAAAGTACTAGCAACTCAAATCCAACATATCAAAAAGGTTATACATCATGAAAAGTGGGATTTATTATAGAAATGCAAGGATGCTCAATATACACAAATAAAAAAATGTAATACACTGTATCAGCAGAATGGAAAACAAAAAATTTATGGATTGTCTCAAAAGATGAAGAAAAAACGTCTAGTAAAACTCAACATCCTATCATGAAGAAAAAAAAAAGAAAATTAAATATAAAAGATTATTTCAACACAATAAAGCCCATATATGGCAGACCATAGCCAACGTCATACTGAATGAAAAAAATCTGAAATATTTTCCTCTCAGGAGCAAGATGAAAGTTTCTACTTTTACTTATTCAATATAGTATTGGAAGCCTTAGTCAGAGCCAAAAGCAAGATAAGACAAGAAAGGGCCTTCAAATGTTGAAGAAAAAAAAAAAGGGGGGGGGTCAAAGAATCCTTGTTCTTAGACAGTATGATTGTATAGACAGAGGAAACTCTAGACTTCACAAAAATCAATTGGAACTGATTTTAAAAAATTCAGTAAGAATAGAGAATATAAAATTAGTAGTGCTGGGGTTAGAGGGTAGGTATATCTCAATGTTAGAGTGTTTGCCTCGTTTGCATGAAGTCCTGGGTTTGATCCCTACCACCATAAATACAGACTGCAGCTATTGAGAAAGAAATAAAAAGCCTATTCACAGCAGCTAAAACAAATAAATATATAAACAAAATTTGTAAGTATCTAAGAACAAATTTGGTAAAGGGAATGGACAATCTCGGCAATGAAAACTGGTGAGGGAATCCATGGAACAACATCCCATGTTCATGAGCAGTGTATTAATATGGTTAAAATATTCATACTACCCAAAGTGGTGTACAGATCCATGTAATTCTCATCAAAATACAAGCTAAGTACTTCACCAAGTGAGCCATCCCTCCAGCCCTCCATCAAAGTACAAGTAACATTTGACATAGAAATAAAAAACATACTCCTATAGTTTGGAAAAAATTACAAAAGACTCCAAATAGCTAAAGCAATCAGGAGCAGCAAGAACAGGCAGAAGAGTCAGGTACAGTGACTCACACCTGTAATCCCAGTACCCTTCGGAGGACAAGGAGAAGAAGATCATAAGTTCAAGGTCAGTTTCAGCTACATACAGAGCTTCAGACCTGCCTCAGCTATACAGTGAGTTTGAGACCAGCTTAGACTACATGAGATTCTATTTTTTTTTAAATCAATGTTATTGTAACCAAAATAGCATGATATGAAGGGGGAAAAACTTAAATTATTAGAACAGAACAGAGAACTCAGAAATAAATTCAGATATTCATACATAGCCAACTAAACCTTCCCAGAGGCAGCAAAAACATATGTCAGAGAAAAGTCTTTTCAATAAATGGTATCAGGAAAACTGGATAACTACATACAGAAAAAAGAAACTAGACCTCTACAGCTCAAAACACACACACACACACACACACACTCTCTAAACTCAAAAAAGATCAAAGACATAAATACAGAAGAAAAAAATCAAGGACAGCTTCAAGATATTTATCTGAGCCAAGATTTTTTATGACCTCAAAAACACAGACAAGAAAAGCAAAACTTAAAAAATGAAATTACATCAAATTAAAAAACTTTTATATAACAAACAAAATAATATACAGAGTGAAGAACTTAAGAGAAAATACCAGTAAATTATTGACTCAGTAAGAAATGCATGAAGAATTCACATGGTCATAGTGGTTCATGACTGAAGTCTTAACATTCTGTATTATACAGCAAGTTCCAGGCTAACCTGGGCTATACAACAAAACTGTGCCTCTAAATAAATAAATAAATAAATAAGCAACTCAAATAGCTCAACGGCAAAAAACTTAATCTGGTTTTTCAAATGGGTGAATAATCTGAAGTGCTACCTCTCAAGATATATATACATATATGTATATATGTGTTGTGTGTATAGATAGATGATAGATAGATAGACAGATGGTAGATAGATAGATTAGATAGATGTATGATAGATAGAGAGATACATACATACATACATACATACATACATACATACATACATACATAGAGTTCAACCTCTCCAATCACTGAAATGCAAATCAATGCCACAATGAGATGCCATCTCATGCTAATTATAACAGCTAGTCTCATAAAACAATGGCAAAATATGAAGAAGAGCACTCATACACTGTTGGCAGGAATGAAAATGGAGTGCAGCCATTGTGAAAAAGGTATACAAGTTCCTCAGAAAACTGGAATCAAAGTTTATGTCAAAAAGACTTCTATCTGCATGCCTATATTTACTGCAGTGCTAGTCACAAGAGCCAAAATATGGAAATTAATCTAAGTGTCCACTGATAGATGAAGAAAACAGATACTAAAATAATACTCATTCATAAAAATAAAAATTTTGTCATTTTCACCTACATGGATAGAATTACAAAACAATGCACTAAGGGAAATAAGGCACAGAAAAAAAATATCATATTTTCTTACTTATATATGGAAGCTAAAAACCTGCTATCACAGAAGTATAAAATACAATCATGTATATCAGAGTCTAAGAAGATAAGGGGGAGAGAGGGACATGGAAGGAGAATCATTAATGGGTTCCAAAGTGTGACTGGATAAGAGGGATTACTTTAAATGTTCTGCAGCACAGAAGACTAACGATGGTTGACCACAATGCTTCAAATATTTTAACATATTTAGTACAGAAGAGTTTGAATGTTCTCAACACAAAGAAAAAAATGAGCATCTGTCTCAGCTGATGGATACACTAATTACTCTGGTCCAATCACTACACATTATAAACATCAAAATGATAGACACAGAGCAGCCCATAAATATGCCCAATTACTACATGTCACTTAAAAAATTTAAATACTCTTAAAAGATAGGAAATAGTAAAATATTAGCAGTTTAAAAATTTAATTCAATTTTTTTCAGAAGAAAAATATATATAGGTGTCCTGATAGTACATACAAACAGTTACAATTCAGCTCAGAATAAATTCATATTTGTAATTTTCAAACGTTTCACAAATACAATTTCGTATTCAGTACTGCTACTATTACTACTACCAACGATAATATTAATAGTTAGTGAAAATAATTGCAAGAACTTCAAACTAATGGACTAACATGTGCTTAAATCTCCCACAATAAGCCACAGACCTGCAGGTCGCTAAGAATCTATTATCTCTTTTTACCAGGACCAGTAGCTCAGATATGTACAGCCAGTGGTAACTCGGGGCAGGGGACACAGAGATGGTTTACATGGTTCAAGTACTTTCATGTACTCTTCTCAATGAGCTGTAAATTTCTTCGGGGTGCTAAATTTCACCCTGAAGGTTGCCGAGACCTCTACAGTGAATGCATAAGAGCCGACCACTACATTTTCTAGGAACCAGTATTCTATGTCAGGCTAATTGTGAGCAAATACATGAAGGTGCCTATTTATTATCATTATTTTAGAATAAATAACATTCCCTAGAGGTTACCTAAACAAAGTACGGTTCCAAGTACCAAACCAATAATTAGTTCTTATTTTTAGCAATTACCCATATTTGATCAAACACCTTTAAGTACAAATACTATTAAACTTAAAACAGAGTTTTTGAAAGACCACCTGTGGACAGCCATAGAACTCAAAATTACAGAACATGGAGAGTAAACTTGGACAAATTTTGGAAAAACAAAAAAGCTATTAAACTCCACCAATTTAAGGGACACTTATCACCAATGTCAACATTTCAGAAATGTGACAAATTCTAACATGTAAAAAAACAGATGAGCAGAAAACAATATATAATGCTTTCTAATATCACATCTATCGCCTGTTAGGCTGCACTGTCATAGGATCCTTGGCTCCTTGCTCAACCTCAAGATTAAAAGACAAGGAAGAACAATTCTTCTGCGGCCCTTGCCTGGTAAAACTGCAGACAGCTCAGGGCAACCAGGTCTTTAGTAACTTCAAGCACTTCATTACAGCATCACGGCTGCTGCACTATGACCTCTCTGCCTACTGATCAAGAGTCTGGCTTTATTCGCCTCTGACAACAATCCAAAAACACATAGGGCAGTGTTTACTAAAAAAGCTACAGCTCTAAAAACACTCACTGTACCGTCTTCTAATTAACCAGTTATGGGAATTGTGTTTTCATGTACATCTTTTGCTTTATCATTAAGCAAAATGGAAATCTACCAAAGTATCTGTTAAATTATAAAAAGGAAAGAAATCAGAAAAAACAACAAATAATAAATAATTTTACTTAATGACCACAAATACGTTCAACCCTATCATTCTGCCATAGCTATCCACAGGCATAAATATTAGATAAATGTACTAAACCATAATACAGTGAAAAAACTGAAGACAGTACATGTATTTCAACATACATGTGTGTCAATACAAACAAAATGATTATATGATCACATCTCAACAAAAATCCTAAACTGGGAAATGATTCAAAGTAATCTTAATCTTAAAATTGATCTTAAAAATAAAAAAATAAAAAAATAATGGCATCACTAGTTCACTTGCTCCATTAGCCAAGGCCTATATGAACAAATACATGTCAAGTAACACAAGGTGAGCCTTCTCCAGTCCACTACATCAGCGAGGCCAGCAGGCCATCCCACCTGTAGCTGTTTTTCTGGTTGACACCATCTGATGTGTCTTCTACTTCTTTAGCAGAAAATTCTAAAAGATGCCTCCTTTGATTTGCAGGGTTCACGCTGGGCTTCACTCTCCTGGAATCCTGTTCCAGCATGCTAAATACAGAAAAAACAAAGCAACAACAACAAAAAATGAAGCAGTAGTTGAAATTCAAATGGTACACATGAATGCTATGTGTAGCTAGAAAGCAAGCAAAATTTGTCTTGTAGATCCATATATACAGCAAAAATCAAGGCCTAGCAACAAGTCAGAACACTGATGTCCTTAAGTACTTGAGGCCTGGCATCCTGTACATAGCCAACAATTTAAAAATAATTTTTATAAATGTAAAATCCATATTTATAAACTGATTAAACAAAAGCAGTGTTTTACTTGCTTTTAAAACCCTATAATTACATTATATAAATTGTTGTCGTTTATATTCAAGTGTTTCCCAAAGACCTATATGCTGAAGGATTGGACTCATCGGGAGGTTAGTGGACTGTTAGGAGGCAGGGCCTAGTAGATGAAGTCAGAACACTGAGTCAGGCTCTGGAAGGGGGTCCTGGGAACCTGGCCCTCCTATGCCCTTCTCTTTCGCTTCCCAGCAGCTGTGACGTAAATAGACTTCTTCTACTATATGTTTCTGATAATGTACTGTACCACTACAAGCTCAAAGCGACTGAGCCAAGTGACCACGGACTAAAACTTCTAAACTAAAACAACAGCCAAATACATCTTTCTGCTTTTTAAGTTGATTTATCTCAAGTATTACAGTAACAGAAAGCTACTCACATAGAAATAGAAACTCACATAAGTACATATAAATAAATTTTAAACTCAGATCATTGAAGTAGAAAATCCAACCCAATGCGGCAAGCTGATGTTTTCAATTGGCAAACACATACCATGAAATAAGAAAGAACTCTTGTTCTCTTTTAGCGCTCAAGTACATTATTAGCTTTGCCACAATGCTAGAAGGCAGGTGTGGTGGTCTGAAAGAAAACGGCCCCCAAGGGAGTGGCACTAGTAGGAGGTGTGGCCTTGTTGGAGGAAGTGCGTCACTGTGGGGGCGGGCTGCTATAGGATATGATTTAAGATGTGTTGCATTTGTCTATGCTGTGGAAGATTTGTTTAATGATGCAAAGATGTGTTGCATCCTTTTATGTTGCATTTGTTTAGCTCTGTGAAGCTGTGTTACTTTACCTGTCTAAAACACTTGATCGTCTAATAAACAGCTGAACAGTCAAAGGATAGGCGGGGCTGGCAGGCAGAGAGAATACATGAGAGGAAACACCAGAGAGGAGGAAGGGAGGGAGATCAAGGAGCAAGATCAAGGCCAGCCACCCAGTTATACAACCAGCAACAGAGCAACCGAGTAAGAAAGAAAGAAAAGTTACACAGAAACAGAGAAAGGTAAAAGCCGAGAGGCAAAAAACACACAAGATAATTTAAGAAAAAATAGCAGGAAATAAGCCAAACTAAGGCTGGGTATTCATAAGAAAGAACAAACCTCCATGCGTGATTTATTTGGGAGCTGGGTGGCAGGCCCCCACAAAAGGGTAAAGAGTAAAAAACAACCAACAACAGCAAGCTTTGAGGTCTCATATATGGTCAAGCCATACCCAGTGAAATAGACCACTTCCTGCTGCCTGTATAAGATATAGGACTCTCAGCTACTTCTCCAGCACGTCTGCCTTCATGTTGCCTTGCTTCCTGCCATGGCGATAATGGACTAAACCTCTGAACTATAAGTGAGCCACCCCAATTAGATGTTTTCCTTTATAAGAGTTGCCATGGTCATGGTGTCTCTCCACAGCAACAGAAACCTTAACCAACACAGCAGGCTATCAAATGACGTTAACCAAAACTATTCATAAATAGTCTGTTTCATTTATATGTACAAGTTTTTATTTACTTCTTACTCTCAACTCTCCCTAATACTTTCACTCATCAGTGTGACAGTCATAAGTATTTGGGGGAAATAATAACATAGATTAAACAGATACATACATATATACACACACACATAGAGATAGTCAGGCAAGCAGGCAGGCAGACATACAGACAATATTGTGATAAGTATAATACTTTAAACTCATTAATCATGTGCTTAAGTTATCTGGCTAGAGCACTGGCTGTTCTTCCAGAGGTCCTGAGTTCAATTCCCAGCAACCACATGGTGGCTCACAACCATCAAACCATCTACAATGAGATCTGGTGCCCTCTTCTGGCATGCAGGCATACATGCAGACAGACTACTGTATAAATAATAAATAAATAAATAAATCTTTTTTTAAAAGAAATCTGGCTTATCAATATCACTTTTAATATATGTTTTATTTTTATAAATCTACACACATAATTTACACTAGTCATGATCCTGATTCAATACAAAGGGAATTCTCTGGGGAAGCATAAAAGATTGTATTTCAAGAATAAAGTGGAAGTAGGTAGAAGGTAAGATGGATGAAAGGGAGCTGTTAAGGTCCCGTGGTCTAAAAGTAAAAGCTTTTGGGGGCCATGGTGGTTTATCTCCAAATATGGATGAACAGGCTGGACAAAAACAAGAGGAGACATATTTCTCTAGAATCCTTTACTGATTTCTTACTCTTTGGTTTCTCACTTCTTTACCACTAGAAATCACTGCCACCTGCAGTTCTCACAGGGCCTGTGGTCATTCTGATACACTGTGAACTCTTCAAAGGTGCGCTGCCAAATTATGACTACTGTATAAAGTTTAAGTTTACCAAAACTACTACTAAATTGTCATTACAATTGTATATTTCAGACTGAATGCTTACTTGAGAAGCCTCTCAAGTAAGCACTATCTAACACTGCAAGTCTTGCTGCACATGAAAAGGACTTCAGAATGTCTAACTGAACCTGGGGAAGAGGCCAGCAAGTGTCTAACTGAACCTGGAGAAGGGCCTAGCACAGTGTCTAACTGAACCTGGAGAAGGGCCTAGCACAGTGTCTAACTGAACCTGGGGAAGAGACAACTGAGAAAGCAGGGAAGGGGGGGTTAAACAGTAACACTTTTAGAAGGAGGCCTAATAAAGACTGAAATTTCATGTTTTCTTTTTAAGACTTAAAAACAAAAATAAACAAAAACCTTCCTTTCAATTCTTTCATATGTGGTATCAAGAATTCTATTTATAAAAATATGCTAAGAAAGGAAAGTTAAAACTTTCCCTTAAGTTGACAAAATTTGTTTGTTCAGCTCCCCAGTTGTGCTTCCTGTCGGACAGACACATGCTCTGATCTCTCCAAGGATTCAGAGGAGACCTCACACCCTAAGGAAGTCAGGACTTAGTTCAGAACTGGGTCTCCATCATTGCATTATATTGTTGATCACATTTCCCCAAATGTCTGATTAATTTATCTAATAAACATGTGCTAAATATCTATTCTGTTCCAGGGACCTATTCATAAATATCTATTATGTTCCAGGGACCTATTCCATGGTAAAGATCCAAAGACAAAAAAAAAAAAAAAAAGCTAAATTACTTTGTATAATTGGATAGATTTGATATAATTGATTGACTGGTTGGCTGACAGAAGAGTGATCAGTGTCATAACAGGGCTAAAGCAGAACAATATGAAGTACAGATGAGAACACTGGATCTCTACAGAAAGGATCATGAGGTAATCTGAAATGGCAAGCAATAAATGAAGACAAAGAGGATGGGAGAGAGGAAAGGCATCTCATGCCAACAGAACAGTTCTGAGCAATGAGCAAAGCACGCTGCTCAAGAGCATGAGTTAAGGACGGGAACGTGGTAGTCAACATGGGCAGCACACAGCGGGAAGAGGGTCACCTCCAGAGAGATAAGACAGCAGCAGCAATAATGCAAGGCTAGATATGTGTGGTCTTGTCTGCCATGCTTAGTAAGTCTAATAATTTATACAGTAACATATAATTATTTTGTCCTTGTGTTAATCCATACTCTTCTGTATATCGATCATAATCTTTCCAATGGCTGATGGAATTTCCAGAGCTGGGGGCATAATCAGTCATTTCATTTTAAGTGTTAGTGTTATTTGTTTACTATCCAATACTACTGCTGAAGAGCAGATTATTAGATGAGTTTAGAACTAGGCTTTACTAGTTCTAGGCTTTTAATCCCACAAGGAGTGTCCCTAACGTAACTCTCATACTTTAACCTGAGAAGTCAAAATGGCTGCTCTGCCTTCTAAAAATGACTTAGCATACTTCATGTTCTCCTCTATATCAGAAGGTACCTTCTCTAGGACAGTGGCTCTCAAGACTGAGGCACCTGGCCCAGCAGTGTTGGTATCACCTGATAACTGGTTAGAAGTGTCAATTCTTGTATGAGGAAACTCTGGGGGTGATTGCCCAAAAGTCAGTGTTTTAACTAGCTGTCTGGATGACTGCTAGTGACTGAGAGCCTCTATTCATGCTTCCCACAGCATCTTTCTTGAAGATTTGCTTCTTCACAATGGATCCATGTGAAGTAGACAGTTCAGAGAAGGACTGGGATGGTTAAACAAGAGAACACAGAAGGACATGGCCAAAATGGTACAATCTGGGGTTCACTTTTTTTTTTCTTTTTCTTTTTTTTTTTTTTTTTTTTGTAAACTAGTGTGGTGATATTTTATGTGTGCTTTAATAAATAAAGCTTGCCTGGAGATCAGAGGAAATAGCAAGCCATTTTAAGTAAACAAAGAAGTTGGGCAAAGGTAGCCTATCACTTGGCAGGCAGGATCTGTGTGTGTTCAAGGCCACACTGGAAACAGAGCCAGGTGTGGTGGCACATGCCTTAAATTCCAAAACTAGTTAACCACGGAGGTCTGGAGGTCTGCATAGACAGACAAGAAGTGATAGAGCTGTGTAGGAAGTGGAAGTGACGTAGCTGAATAGAGAGGGCAAATCAGATGGCAGAAGAGCAATGCAATAAAAATGTGGGTAGACAGGAAGTATCTCACATTTGGAAGCTGCAGAGTTGGTGAGGTAAGGTTGGCTGGTGGCTTTCCCTATTTCCCTGATCTCTCTAAGGCTTTCACCCCTCTATTTGCCTCCGTGTTTTTTATTTAATAAGACCATTTAGAAATTCGTCTACAAACTAGTATTGTTAATACTTTGGAGATTTAA